GGCAAGCTATAAGATTGACAATTGCAGACATCCGAGGGATTCCCGCCGGAATTTGTGAACACAAGATCCAATTGGAGAGTGAGATGAAACCAAGTGTGGAACATCAACGACGGTTGAACCCGTCCATGCAAGAGATGGTAAAGAAAGAAATCAACAAGTGGTTGGATGTTGGGGTAGTCTACCCCATTGCCGATAGTTATTGTGTGAGCCAGGTGCAATGTGTGCCGAAAAAAAGGAGGCATGACCGTTGTTGACACCCCCTTTTTCCTAAGAAATCGGGTTTACGACATTTGGGAAGACAACTCTATTCCCGTTTGGGAATTGGGTTTTGGATTTGAAGAGTCGCCACCTAATGATTAAGTGCATTAGGACACTAAGGGCTTTGAGTTGTAAAACCAGAGTTCGGGTAAGGGCTAGAAGTTATCTCGAAGGGAAGGTGTTTGGCACCCCTCAAGATCCACTAGTGTGGTTCCCGGCCATGTTACAATTGTGAGTTTACAAATAAGCAATTAGGGCTCAAATAAAGGGGCTTGCACACAAGTTTAAAACTCATTCAAGAAGAAAAAAAGATAAGGCAGAATTTTGTGAAAAAAGATTTAAACAACTTATAGAGAAAACAAGTAAGAAAACACATAAAAGGGAGGGGAGTCCTAGGTTTATACATAATATGGAACACCCCACACAACACCCGGTAACCGTTTATACACGTGGTGTTATCGCGTGGTCATCATATCCATATCTACCCTTCCCACCCCGTTAAGGTATTAAATGCGGAATGATATCGTTTCACTTATTGCATGCAATTACCCGCCCCATCCTATCAGTCTCGGAGGTACTTAGGACTACTAATCCTAAAGGGTAGGATATTAGGCTGATTGGTTTTCAAAGGAAAAAAATCTAAAGCGACATACAAAAACACATACTGAATGTTAGGGGGGAAAGCATGTAAACACGTAAGGGCCCATGTAAACCTCCTCAAACAAACACATAAGTAGCATGCCTTAAACATAATTAAGGTCTCAAAAGATAGGGATTTTTTCAACGGTTAGAACTTGGTTTTAGAAATAAAGTAGTAATAATAATAGCACAATTCTGGACAGAGATAGGTAACCCAGAGATTTGCAGACATAAAAATCAGAAACCAGTAAAAGCAAAGGTGCGTCATTTTAAAAAAAACGTTTTCAGCAGAGCCTTTTTTTTGTTTTAAGAAAAGCAAAGCTGAGTGAACTTCAGAAGATCTCAACACGAAAGGGAACTGCCAAAAATTAAAACTTAAGGGAGTTGGTTGGTTTTAGACTAATAGAAATACAATCGATCAATTCTCAACGAGCCTAAGGTTTGCCTAGGCGTGGTTATACATTACCTAATTATTACAAGATGAACACTCATATCTTAATTCTGATTCCCGCGTGATAAGCTATTTATAGAAAAACGTTTCAACCCACTTAACCATATTTTAACAAAGTCGTTAGCTAGACATGAATCAATTACTGCAATTCGAACGAGAAGTCCTAGAGGTAAGATATCTAATGCACATAAGAATTCCTAAAGACATGATTTCTAATATGCCAATGCAGTAATGACAAATTGTTGGTTCGTTGTTAACCGCTTATTGATTATTAACTGATCATGGTTACAAGGTGAGCGTAATAACATAATGAAAATAAGGAACCTAAAGCAGAATTTCTAATGAATGAGATGCATGACCTATACAGGTTGTCTATTGCGCAAATAATAGATAAAATCCTATAAGCATGTTTTCTACCCATGATTTATACTAAGCATGCATAAACCCTACCCTTTTCACTATCCAGCCCTAAAGTGTTTTACAAATAATTATTACAGACCAAAATTGCTGAATTACATAAAAGGAAAATCAAGAACCTATACTATAGAAAGCCTAACAGTAGGCCCAAAGTACCTGATCCGCTTGCCATATGCCATGGCCTTACAACCCAAGCGTGTCATAGTCTCTAAGGATATCAGAAGATCCTGGACGGTGCTCACACCCAGGCACCCTAGCCAAGAATGAGTAAGTGTAGTGTAGAAGGCCAGCCTTGAGTGTCAGAGTTCAATGGGTGCTCAGAGGTCCCCAAGGCAGTGCTCACTCGAAGGAGGCAGAGCCTAGAGTCTAAGAATAGTGTGAAGTGCGGGAAGAAGAGTTTTAAAGAGAATTTCAAGTTTAAAAAGAGTAATTGAGACAACAGCCTTGAAAAGATGATTTCAGAAAATGGTGGAGGATTTTGGTAAAATATTTTTTATCACAGAGAGAAGCAATACAACGACAGCCAGCAGGTAAAGAACTCATGAAAGAGCAAACACAAACAGGGGTAAGGGATTGGGGACAGATAACTTTGATATTAGCACTTAAATAGAGTTATGGTTATCACATAATTACCACATAATTGTCACAATAATAGCACAGATTAATAGGGTTAGGATTACATAACACTCAAGTAACAGGAGAGGTAGGTTTGAGCACATAATGAGAACATGATGACAACAAGCAGGATCAGCAAATTATGAACACATAAGGATACTAAAGTCTCAAAAGGAACTGGAGACATATAAGACTCAAAGAAACGGAGGGGTATAGGTGCAGTAATGACATAATCACAAGGAACCATATAGAAAACAAGACACACATTCAGATTTAAGCTAGTTACATGACAAGCAGTGGAACCAAAGGATGAAACACACAAGGAACAACAAGTAAGTAAACAAAAACTGGAGCATGTTGTGTAGATGCTACAAAATTAAATAACAAAACATACCAGTTAGAGAATAAAGGATGGGAAAGTGCTGGAGATAACACAGCAGTAACAGTATGCAGGACAAGGAGAACAACTCCAGGACATAAATATGCAGGGTGAGAGCAGCAGTAATATGCAAAAGCACAAGAGTAGTAGAGACTACTCAGTCTTGGGTGTGTTTTGTGTGATTAGTGATTTCAGAGGCAATTTGTGTCAGTGTCTTTTTCGTGTGAATCTCAGTGTGTGTGTGAATCTCAGTGTGTGTGTGAAGAGGGAAGACAGGTCTTTATATAGTTTTGAAAACAAGCAGTACATAGGCAAAGAGTGCCAAACAAGGAAATAGCAATCAATCGGTATCAATTAAGACAACTGGACTCCTTTAATTAAGGAGTCTAGTTCAAACGGTGAGTCAAGGTAGAATAAGGAAAGAAATCACTTCGGCAAGGCTGATTAGGGCAAGGAATCACATAGTGCATATTCAAGGCCAAATACATAGTTGGTAATTAAGGAAAAGTTGAAATAACCGTGTAAAAATAGGGTATCAGTTCGAGAATGAAGCAAAGGGCTCCTTAATCAAATTGTAATCCCAAGGAATCCCAAAATAATTAAGGAAAGCATCGCATGATTATAGAAATATTTTGAAATTAGCACAGAATTGCATAAGGAATACACGAGAACATATATTTAAGGAAAGCATCACAAGCATGAAATTTTTTTACATAAGAGGATCTGCACAAGTCATCAAATAAACAGCCAGTAGGGTAAAGGTCGGAATTATCAAGCATTCAAATAGCAGTCACATAATTAACAGGAAGAAAAATTCATAGAAATCAACAGGAAGAGGTCATGGTAGCAAATTAAACATGAGTCACGAAGAACACATGAAGGCACACGATTGGGTAATAAAAGGATACACATAATAAGGGTTAACCTAAAATTTGGGGTTCGGCATAACAATCAAGGCAAGAAAGCATGAAACAATCGATTAAACGCAGTAGAGGCATTAAAAAATCAAAGGACTATTTTGAGAACATTATCCAGAACACCCCAGTTCTTGAAATCGTTAAAAACGGAATTTCTTCAGAGAAAAACACGAAGAAACTTCTTAAAACAGTAAATATAAAATGGATTTTGAAAGAAAACCCAAAATATAGAGGACTAGGGTTTCGTGGAACCCAGAAAAGAGGGCAAACCTCACGAACGACATAGATTTAGCCGAAGATACTGCAAACTTACTCACACGGCCGGGGATTGGCCGGAAAATGGCAAGAGACCCATAGGGGGGGGGGAGTGAACCGCTCCAGGTTCATCTGAGGAGCCTTGGATATCGTTGAGTGGTTGAGAGGCGGGTAGATGACCAAGAGGTAGTGATGAGCCATAGGTTTCGGTGAGAGAACTGGTCGAAAAAGGTGAACAGACCCCGTCGGAGGGGAGAAGCCAAAGGGCTTCTAGAGAGTACCAGACAGATAGAGAGAGATGAGGAGTCTCGAAAATGAGACAGGGGAAAGGGGGTAGGTGAGGGTTTAATTAAGGCAATTAAATCTGGGCCGTTGATCTCATTTGATCAACGGCTCAGATTAAAACGGGAGTGGACCGGGTCAATCAGGGATTGGGCTGAGTTGGTTCAGATGGGGCATTGGGCCATTTGGGATTAATTACAATCTAAATGGGGTGGGGTTAAATTGGGGCTATAATTGAAATGCAAATGGGGCTGTTTGTTAAATAGCCAGTTTTCACCTTTTATTATTTTATAAAATAGTTTAAAAGATTTTTAAAACAAATTAAAAGTACTGGACTAATTAATAATGCATAAATATTAATCTAACAATACTAAAAACAATCTTATAATTGTAAAATGTTGTTAATTGTAAAATAGGCTATAATTGCAATTATATGCAATTTAGCTTGAAAAATACCAAGAAAATGTATAAAAAATATGCAAAAACTACCTTAATATCTTGGTGTAAATATGAGAATAAAAATAAATTATTCACCAAAAATGCGAGTCTGGGAATAATTATTGAATTTTGTACTATAAAAAATAGNGTGCTCTTCCGATCTAATCTTTAAATATGAGAGAAAAATACCAAAGCTCTTGGGCATGCTTATATATGCATGTACATGCTATTTTGAGAATATTTTGAGTATAAAAAATATGTAAAGAAAAATTGGGTATCAACAACCGTAATTGAAAACGATAAAAATGAGCTCATCCCAACAAGAATGGTGACCGGATGGAGGGTGTGTATGGATTATCGGAAGCTCAATAGTGCCACATGCAAAGACCATTTCCCTATGCCTTTTATTGATCAAATGCTTGATCGGATAGCGGGGAGGTCATTCTATTTCTTTCTTGATGGATATTCCGGTTACAACCAAATCTACATAGCATTGGAGGATCAAGAGAAGACAACAATAACTTGCCCTTATGTAACATTTGCCTTTAGCCGGATGCCGTTTGGTTTGTGCAATGCTCCAGCTACATTTCAAAGATGCATGATGTCCATCTTCTCCGACATGCTGGAGGATTTTCTAGAGGTTTTCATGGGCGACTTTTCGGTGGTAGGTGACTCTTTTGAGAATTGTCTCAACAATCTTAGACAAGTTCTTAAGAGATGTGAGGAGACCAACCTTGTTCTCAAATAGGAGAAATTCCATTTTATGGTGGATGAAGTCATTGTATTGGGGCATAAAATTTCAAAACATGGCATAGAGGTTGACCGGGCGAAGATCGAGATCATTTCTATGCTTCCTCCACCTACTTTAGTTAAAGGTGTCTGAAGTTTCTTGGGGCATGCCGGATTTTATAAGCGTTTCATCAAAGATTTTTCCAAGATTGCAAATCCTATGTGCAAACGCCTTGAGAAAGATGCAACATTTGTGTTTGACGACAAATGCCTCAAAGCCTCTGAGGAATTGAAGCAAAAGCTTACCACAGCACCTATTATTGTCACACCCGATTGGTCTCTTCCATTCGAACTCATGTGTGACGCCAGTGGTGTAGCTATTGGAGCAGTGCTTGGCCAAAGTCACTACAAGGTTCTTCACGCGGTGTATTATGCAAGAAAGACACTCAATGGAGCGCAAATGAATTATACGGTGACTGAGCAAGAACTTCTTTCCATTGTCTATGCCTTCGAGAAATTCCGGGCTTACTTGTTGGGATCCACAGTGATAGTGTAAACAGATCATGCTGCTCTTCGTTGTTTTATGGCAAAGAAGGATGCAAAGCCTAGGTTGATTTGGTAGATCCTATTGTTGCAAGAGTTTGACTTCGAAGTCAAAGATAGAAAAGGGACGGAAAATCAAGTAGCAGATCATTTATCAAGTCTTGAAGCGGCAGGGAGACAAAGGGACATCTTGAAATCAACGATGCATTCCCGGATGAACACATATTGGCATTATCTAGCACTTTTGCTCCTGGGTATGCCGATATTACTAACTACTTGGTTAGTGACCTTATTCCGGATGGATTGGAATCCTATCAAAAGAAGAAGTTTTTGAGAGATTGTCGACAATACTATTGAGAAGAACCATTCTTGTTTCGTGTTCGTGATGACAACATCATCAGAAGGTGTGTTCTAGAAGAGGATATTATGCCAATTCTAAAGGCATGCCACGACTCACCGGTTGGAGGTCACCATGGGGAAATCAAACGGCGGCTAAGATTCTTACATGTGGTTATTATTGACCATAGATTTATCATGATGCCAATCCAATGGTCAAGGATTGCGACCAATGCCTAAGGTAAGGATCAATCTCCAAGAGGCATGAAAAGCCAATGCACTTTGTGATGGAGATAGAGATCTTCGATGTGTGGGGAATTAATTTTATGTGTCCCTTTATAAGCTCTTGCGGTATGAAGTATATCTTGGTGGCTGTGGACTATGTGTCCAAATGGGTTGAAGCAATTGCCGTACCAAACAACGAGGCAAGGAGTGTGACCACATTCTTAAAGAAAAATGTATTCACGCGGCTTGGCACTCCTAGATCCATTCTTAGTGATGGTGGGTCTCATTTCTATAACAAGGCTTTCACGGGGCTACTAGAGAAATATGGCATCAAGCATAAGGTGGCCACACCTTATCATCCCCAATCAAGTGGCAAAGTTGAAGTTTCCAACCGGGAGATAAAGAACATTCTAGCAAAGACTGTCAATGCAAACAGGATCGATTGGTCAAGGAAGCTAGATGATGCATTGTGGGCATACCACATGGCGTACAAAACCCCTATTGACCCTTCTCCTTATCGGTTAGTCTTCAGCAAAGCTTTTCATCTGCCCGTAGAACTGGAACACAAAGCCACGTGGGCTTTAAAGAGGTTAACTTGGACTGGGCGGAAGCTGCAAATTTGAGGCTAACACATCTCAATGAAATGGAGGAATTCCGTTTCCATGCATATGAAAGTGCAGTCGGTACAAAGAAAGGATAATGTTCGTCCACATTAAAAAGATCTTGATAAGAGAGTTCAAGTCAGGTGACTTGGTTTTGCTCTTCAACTCAAGGCTCAAATTGTTTCCGCGCAAGCTCAAATCGAAATGGTCTGGTCCGTTCAAAGTGGTCAATGTATCCCCTTTTGGAGTTGTGGAATTATAATCGGAGGATGGGCTCCGAACCTTCAAAGTAAATGGTCAGCGAGTGAAGCACTACTTGGGCACAGATGGAGAAAAACATTTGGTGGAACAGTTGGCTCTCAAAGATGGTCCATGCCCAACCAATGAGTGAAACCAAAGAAAGGACAACTTTGTCGTGCCGCGACGTTAAATCAAGCACTTCGTGGGAGGCAACCCATGTGTGGTAACACACTTTTTTCCTTTAAATTTTAATTTTTTTTGTTAGATAGATTTAATTGAGCAATTGAAAGTGTGTATTGGAGTGCAGCCGATTCAAAAGATCATAACACTGGGTAAAATTGTGTGTGAAAGGGAAGAAAAGTCACCATGGGAAGTTTGCTACACATATGTGGTCGCATTTTAACTATGCAGACCGCATTGTGGTCACAGACCCAGACAGTGTGTTTGGCAATTTTGGTGGTGAGTATGCGGCAAAGTGGTGCACTTTGCGGACCACATTTCAATTATGCAATCGCATAGTGCACCACATTTTGGCCCTCAAGCAACTCAAGTTGAATCCACCGCATAACACTTACGCGGTCGCATATTGTGTTATGCGGTGACTTACCCATCGCAAACCTCCCAAGTAAGTACCCCCGCATATCTTCAGCATTCAAACCACTTTCAAAACAAAACAAAAGAAATTATTTTTTATCAGAAAGAAAACAAAACAAAAAAAGAAGGGAAAATAGCTAGTTGAATCCAAGAAAGTAAAAAAAAACACCTGAGAATCCATCTCCCAAGTGTGCTCGTTCATCCATCACTGGTATGTTCTTCCTTTCCTGTTTTGTTCTATGTAAATTTTTAGCTTAAATTATATTGTGTTTTCCTATTCTTGTTTCCTTTAGTTTTGTTCATTTTTCCTCTTTGTAGCTGGGTATCTGTTCATAATGTGAGGGGGTTCTTTGATAGGTAATTAGGTTTGGGGTATTTGGTAGTGAAACTAGGTCCGCCATTGTTGAGGGTTGAATTTTATGGTTGAGAACGATGAGTTTTGGGGACAACAAAATCGAATTTCGATCCGCATTGTTGCCGCAAAAACGAACCCTAGGTTGCTGAAGAAGATGACCAAATGCGGCGACTTTGCGATCGCATAATTGATATGCGGACTGCAGAGTCACCACATACTGAGACAGTTTCAATGGTTTTGAAGCATGTTGTTTGCGGCCATTTTGCGATCGCAGATCCATCTTTGCGGTGGACTTTGCGATCGCATAATGTGTTTATGTTTTCCAAGAATTTAGTATGCGATGGTTATGCGAACTGCATAATGGATATGCGATCGCATAACACATCGCATAACTAGATCATTTCAACAGGCACAGAGTTTGCGACAAGTTTGCGGTCCGCATAGTGGTTATGCGCATAACCTGTCGCATACCTGAAATCTTTTTGTACTTTTTCTATTGTTGCATACTATGTTGCTTACATTTCATTTCTGTGCAGATATGTCTCCCAAGAAACATACATCTTCTACCCATAAAAGGGCCTCCACCAGTCGTCAAGCACAATAAGCAAAACGTTCACGACCGGACCCTACTGTTACACTTCCCTCCCCGTCCCCGTCTGATGAGGAGGAGACCTTGCCCTCTGTTGACCTACAAGCTGAGGCAAGAAGGAAACGAGGAGATGACTTCCAGCTCAGGTTTGGGGTCGAAGGGTCCAGGGAGCTATACAAAGAAGGGCTAACAAACCGTAAAATCCTGGCTGAAAAGTAACTAAGTCTGAATGGGCTACATGAGCAGTACCCCCACATATGGGAGAACATCAAAGCAAGAAAATGGGAGTGCTTCACTGAGCTACTGGATGACTACAATGAACACTTGTCCGTGAGTTTTATGCCTCGTATGGAGCCTCCAGGACTGCTCACCACAAGCGCAATAGGTTTTTCTGTGACACTGTATTTGTTTGGGGGAAGCAAGTTTTCTACAGGAGTGAGACCATCAATGAATTTTACTTCCCCTGACTGGAGCCTGGGCACAGCTGAGTATGCCACCAAATGCGCAAACCAGGATAATGAGCATAGTTGGATAGTGTCAGTGATAGACAAGGGAACCCTTGCTTGGATTAACCTTTTGCACAAAATATTCAAGGAGGATCTCACATGAGATGGTATATTATGGCTTAGTTTTGTCACCTCTCAATTGATACAGTCCAGAAATGAGACTGATATAAGCATTGAGAGAGCTCTTCTCATTGCATGCATTATGGCGGGAATCAAAATTGATGTGGGTGATTTTATCTTCCGAGAGATAGGGATCCGAGCAAAACAGACAGCCACGTCACTTCCATTCCCACGCTTGATCACAGCCCTCTGTAAGGCTGTGAAAGTCCCTACCATGCCACGCACTGACGAGACAGGGAAGGCGCTGAAGGATATTGATATCATGCACATTAGTGATGCAATAGATGTTGCTTTCCCAGAGGTTCAGACTCGAATTCTTGCTAATATAGAGCCCTCATATTGCCAGAATCCAGTGTCTCCTCAGGCTACAGTTGCATCCACTTCCACTTCACAGCCTACCTCTCAATCCACCATTTCTCAGCCTTCTGCCATACTGTCAGTGGTTTCGAGGCTTGGTCTATTAGCTCAACATGCCAATGCAAAGGTAGACCAGCTTCTGAAGAACCTCCCCGCCCTCATCGAGCAGGAATTGACGCCTATCCAGTCCTCAGTGATGGCCCTCCAACAGCAATAAACATCTTATGGGGATCGCCTGACGCAACTTGAGGTGCAGGTTGAGAAGATAGAACGGGGTGAGGTTGGTGACTTGCCAAAGCTCCGGGAGGATGTTTCCACCATGAAGACTGAACTCCACAAAATGCAAACTCTAGAGTTTGATCTATCATCCTTCCTGCGAAAGGAAGGTGAGTAGGGAGCAGACACGGTAGTGGCTGGATTGGATCTTGACTTCTCCACACTGATGACAGACACTGCACCTCAGACTGTCGGGGCTTCCAAGCCTCCAGCTCTCCCTGCACGTGTTGACATTCCTTCTGAGGAGGATTCCAAACATTCTGCAGAATCCAAAGA